TAAAAAGAGGAGTGATGGACTATTTTACAAGAGGAGAGCCATCTTGGAAGCTGTGCAGTAGTACTCTTGATGAAGATTTAGATGGCAGGTCTACCCCTACCCTCCAGGTATCTGGTGCTTTGGCTATTATGATGCATGGGGGTGTCACTGCTGAGCCGGCCTGGTCTGTGCCCTCTCAGATGCAAATGAACCAAGTCTCAGATCTCTTCTGCCTAATACTCAACAATGTAAGTCACTTCTAAGTTATTTTTTTTCTTTAATTTTTATTGTTAGTTGCTCAAAACATTACATACTTCTTGACAAATCATATTTCACACTTTGATTCAAGTGGGTTCAAGAGTCTAATAGACCACCATACAATAATCATGGGCGACTTCAACACACCTCTCACCACTGGACAGATCTTCCAAACAAAAGTTGAATAAGGAAACTATAGAACTCAATAACACAATTAATAACCTACACTTCTAAGTTAATGCAGACAAACTGAGGAGGGCCCAGACACATTCTCTCAGGCCTTTAAACAGTGCATTGAACAAGCTAGAGGTCCTATGTCTGCCTGGAGGAGTCTTGGGCATGTTTAGCTACACAGAAATCGTTTTTATAACTGCCTTTTTTGCTCTTAGGAGGCACAGGGGGAGAGGGTGAGGAGGTTAGGAAAGAAGAGTGAACACTTTGAATAATTTTGCCACCACATTACTAAACTGACTTAAAACTTCTTAATCATCATCATCTACAGTACCCACATAGATACTGTTTCCTAAGCCAGCTTCAGTCTACATTGTAGTTTGGTAGGAAAGAGTATCATAACCAAATAGTAATGTCTGCTCTGGGTAGGAGAAGGAGGCATGACAAGCATCTGCCTTCTTTTTGTGTGTGTGTGGTTTTTTTTAATTATCATTATTTTTAGTTGTAGATGGACACAATACCTTTACTTTATTTATTTATTGTATGTGGTGCTGAGGATCAAACCCAGTGCCTCATACATGCTAGGCAAGTGCCTTCCACTGAGCTTCAACCCTAGCCCACAAGCATGTGCCTTCTATTTAAGGACTCTTAAAACACAGGGAGCTCCACCTGAGCCAAGGAGGTGTCTGTGTAACCATGACCACTAAGGCCATGTGGTGTCAGGCCACTTGTTAGCTATCAACCTCTGGATAACAAATGGGTGTCATAATGCCCGCCACCTCTAGTCAACTCATCATGGCCACCTAAGCATGAAAATTCACATCTATAGAAAGAACACTATTCTTATAATCATCTGTGTCTACCCTAGCCTGGTCTGCAGGGGTGACAGAACAATCCCTGCCTTCCTGACCCTGATCCAACCTTGAGAGGCAATCAGGGTCCTTTCCCTTCATACCATGTTTGAAAAGCACATGCTCCATGCTAGTCTAGCTCATTCACATGCATCAAGGGTATAGATGGACTATTTTGAAATACTTGGGATTCTGAAGGACTAGAGAAGGATACAAAATCCTCATAAGGACAGAGGATAAACTCTATATTGAATACAAAATATGTAGCTTGAGGACATTTCCTGAGACCCCAGGGTCACATTTTCTGTCACTAGGAGAAGCTCAAGTCTAAGTGGAGAGTGGTCTTTCTTTTTATTCCTCTGTCTGAACCTGTCCTTGCTACATGAGTGTAAAACCTTAAAGTTCCACACCATAAGTATGTGTAATTGTTATAAGTCAATCAAAAATAAAATAACAGATTTTTTTAATCCTAGAATAATCTCAAGGGTCAGGATTATAGGGTGGGCACTAAGGAGAAGACCAGGGAAACACTTGCTGTGCTTCCAGTCTAGACCTTGAGTGAGGGGCAAATGCATTCCTGGACCACCAACCAGGCTGGACACCATAAAGGACCTTGATGCCAAAGCTTATAGGTACAGTGGAGGATGCCCATTTATGTGGAAGCCACTCTGTGCTACGAAGGGTCTAGAGGTAAACAGTGGGCTGGGGATTCTGGAATGAAGTGTCCCAGCCTAATCTCTTCCCATCGCAGACTTTTGTCTTCCCAAATTTCTCTTGGAATGAGTTTCTCAGAAGGGCTTCACCTGGAAGAGCTTGAAACATCACAGCCAAGGGGACTCAGTGGTGACCCTTCCAGGAATATCCAGCCACAGAGGCATGCATTCAAGGACACATGGAGGAAATCTATTGAGCATTGGAGTCCATGGAAAAATGGCAGGAGCAAACTATGGGAGGGAATGGTTGGCAAGAACTATGTTTGAAAAGCACATGCTCCATGCTAGTCTAGCTCATTCACGTGCATCATCAACTACAATTCCTGCATCCATACAACCAGGAAGGCAATATTGCCCTAAGTTTATAAACATGGAAACTGAGTCTTAGGGCAGATTCTAGGACCTTGCAGGAGATAACCAGTGCAGTCATGACCATTCACAAAGCAGCCACTCCCTAGGCTCAAAGATTAAATTATCTCAATTTAATCTTCAAAATGTGAAACTGGTAGCCATAATTAAGTAAAGCTACATTTTTTTTTTAGTGCTGACTCTGTATCAAAGATTTTTTTTTTCCTTTAAGCAATCTCATACAATAAGTACAACCAACACAGGAGAGAAGAATGTAAGCTTCCAAATCAAATATCCCAGTTTGGAACACAGTTTTTTTTTTCTACTCTCAATTAACCTTAGGAAACTCAGAACACTTCTCTGATCACGAGTTTCCCTTTCAGAAAAATGGAAGGGGGAGGGGTGTTATTCTGAGAATTGAGTGATATCATATTTAAATTGCTTGGTCTACATTAGGTGCTTAATAAACAGAACTGACTTAGTGTTGATTATAGTAGGACTTCATAAATAAGAGAACTGAAAATCAAAAAGGCAACTAGTTTAAGTCCATCTGACTAGTGGCAGAGCCAGGACTAAGCATGGATCTATCTGACAGACACTGAATTCTTGCTCTCCTATGTACACAGGATAACTGATTTCCTCAGTGCTGATTCTGAGCTGGCAAGAAGCACACAAATCCCCATTAGCCAACTCTCTAATGATAGAAGCCAAATCATGCACTTTAGGAATATTTCCTTCCAAAGTAGTTCAAATATTCAAAAATGTCACTTTTAATAATGAACTTCAGTTACTTAAAAAATCCCCAGACTTGGACCAATTCCATAGCCTTCAATGCCAAAATTCAGAGCCATTATGGTCTTCCTCTACATTTGAACTTATTAGAAGCATTAATCTCAGAGACTTGGAACCTCATCAATTTCATAAACATTGTTCTTTCTATTGTGGCCAGACAGGATAATTTAAGGGCATTTTGCTTCATACCGTTTTATCTTTCATTTAAGGCTTATAAACTTAACAATAGTATACATGAACCATCTTAGGGCTACAAATTTTGAGTCTTTGCTGTAGCAGTGTGTCCTGGTAGTGTAAATATTTGTCAAAGAAAGATCAACTAGCATGAACGTATATTCAGAATGGCTGCTCTTTCATTAACCCAGTAAGGAAATAAACTAGAAAAATACACAGTTCTCTAAATGACACTTATAAGTAGTCACTGAACTTCTAGTTACTTTTTAGGCTTATCAAATTTTAGATTTTTTTTAAATCATTTCCCTCATAACCTTGTTTATTTTAAATTTCACCTGAAAAATGTAACACCTAGAAATTTGCTGTAATATTTGAATTATTTGAATTCCTGTATTCATAACTTATGTCTCATTCAGAAATAATAAAAAGTATTTCTGGAAAAAGTGATTAAGAAATTAATCCTTTGGAACAAGAGTATATCAATGCAAAGATTACATAAATAAATGAATAGCTTACTCACAATTTTTCCTTTTAATAAAGATAAAGCCATTTGTTTCAGAAGTTCTCCTAAGGAAGTAAGGTTTTGCTTGCACATTATTCCCACTAATGCATCCTCAAAGCTGATACATACCCCATGCTAAACCATCTCTGAAAATGTAGCTTTAATCAAAATCCAGCTTATAAATTACATCTAAATCCTTGAATGTTCGGCTTTATGACATCCTAAACCTACTTTGTAGGTCCACAAAGATCAAAAAGTGGCTTCATGAAAGTGAGGAAATACAAGACTCCAGTCCCAGAGCCTCCAGCATTAAAGCCCCTAATTCACTGAATACATATTTGATGCGAAGTAGTGAGACTGCATCATAGTGTCCAGCCAAAGGCTCTGGTCCTCTCGCTAGAATCTGAGGAGACTCGGGTAAATCCAGAGGATGACTGAGAACCTTTCAGCCAATGCAGATGGGGTCAAAATGGAACCTGTCCAGGAAGGCCAGCAGGAAGGTTGTGATGGGACTCTTCTCCCACCCAGGAGACAGGCCATTGTGACACTATTGTGCATCTAGTGACAAAATGCATCACCTTGGACTTTCTGACATTTCCTTTTCCAGAAATTTCCCTGTGGGCAATAAAAACCCCAATGATCAGATCCATAATACATTCCCCAGAAGCATTTTCACTTCTCCACTGATGGGGGGACATAAAATTGTGTGTGTGTGTGTGTGTGCGCACACACACACACACACACACACATACATACATACACAGACACACAAATATGTATAAAACATTGAATTAGGCTTTTCGCAGCAGATCAGAACAAAATGTATCTCAGACTTGCCATTTCTTTAGAAAGACTGCCACCAACAGAACTTTTCCCAGAAGTTACATCAATTATGACCTTCATCAACTATGCTGAGAAAAATCTGTTCTACGTTACTGTCAGCCACAAGAGGAAACTGAAATTTAGGCGCTGAACTTGAGGAGAAGAAATTCTAACTTTGATTCAGTTTCAATTCACACTACCCAAAATCCGCAGGGGTAGAGAGACCAAGAATCTCCCAAATCGGGAGATAATGGCTCAGCACAGCGATGGTGGTGCCTGAACACAGCATGCACTCTCCCAGGATTTAGACCCGAACCCGTAGCCTAATCGGTTGCTGCAAAACGGGCCCATGCGTGGTTCCCATTGAGGCAGCCCAAGGGCTGCTGTTACCTGCCACGTAGGTCTGATCCTCCCGGCCAACAGAGAAGCCCCGGGGCGCAGTGCCGCTGAGGGGAGAGTCCGGGCCTCAGGTGTCCACGCGGCTCTCCTCGCAGCTGTGGCGCTTCTCCGCCCGACTTCAGCTAACAGTTCCTCTGCCTGCGGCCAGCGGGCTCACTCAGCTGCGGGGACCCGCGCGAAGCCCTCGCAGCGCCGAAGATCCTGCGCTTCAGCCCCGGAGGCGCCGCGGTGGCAAGTCCCGGGATCCTCCTGGGATGCTCCCTATTCGGCCAGGCCCATCCCGAGCGCTTGCGGAGCCGCGGCCCGGCCAGCGCCAAGCCCGGGACTACCGCGGTTCCTTCGCTGCAGCGCTTTCCTGCGCTGGGGACACCTGGCGTGGGGCCGGGGCGACGGCGAGCCCCAGGCCGGGCTGAGTGGGCAGCGGCCGGGCTGCGGCTGAGTCAGCGCCCCGGCGGAGCGGGCGAGCCCGGGCCAGCCACCGAGAGGGTGCTCTAAGCGGAGCTGCTGCCGCCCTGGCATTTTAAAAGCGAGGCAGCTGGACGCTGTTCAAGCGGAAACGGAGGGAGAAACTTCGGCCCCCGGGGTGGAGCTTTGCCAGCGCGAGGAGTGGGCCCAAGGGCCAATCTGGTTTATTCTGAGATGTTCTTAAATGCGTTCTCTCTTTAGAGACTCCTTTTACAGTGAAAAACAAAAACAAAGGGGTAGTGGGGGGCGGGGGCGGACCATAAAACCCAGCTCAATGCCTGCATTATGCTTAATAGCAAGACAAACGTTTCCATTAAAGTTAGAGGAAGCTCAAACGGAAAGAAAGTCTGATCAAGGCAACCAGACATAAGAAGGAAATCAAGTGTAAAACTACTGAAGTTGTGCCTTTTTACAATATCTGTATATTCAGTTTTTGAATTGGAAAGCAGGAGGAAAATTACTGCTGTTTTCAGCAGAGGTAGTTGTCTGGTTGGAGAATCCAAACTGAACATCGAGTGAAATCGATTTTCCAATGAATTGGCAGGTTATAAAATAAACTTAACAAATTAACAGTGTTCTTGTACACTTATTCACCAGTGAGAAATGTGAATGCCAAATCCCATTCTCACTAATAGCAAAAACATGCATAACTAGGAATATAAACTTACCAGGAAATGTGTTCTGTAAAAATAAATAAATAGATAGATAGATCTACTCTTTACCAGAGGACTAAAGGAGATCTGACTCAATTATTAAGACGCAAAACTTATTCTAGGACAAGAAGTAAATATTGTGATCCTAACAGGCTCTCTTCAATGTAATCTTCACCAAATTACAAGTAGAATTTTCTTTTTACCTCAATGATTCCCAGTCTCTTTAGAAAGAAAAAAAGAAAGTAAATAAAATGTTAATAAAGATTATAGGGGAAACAAGTCCTATTGGGTATATAAAAGAAGTCATGCATGCACACATGATTTATAAATAAAAGCCAACATCGGCTGAGTGCTTAACGTTTAATGCTTTACATGTATCATTTATCAATGTGTTTATCATTTATCACCACAACCCTGTGACACAGATGATATTGCTGGCACTTAAGGGTAGGAAATGGAAGGCCAGTAGAATAGTTATCACACTCAATTTCACACAGGCAAAAGTGGGGACTGGGGATTGGACACAGGCATTATGCCTGCAGAATCCATGCATCTTGTGCATAGCCTTGTTCGCTCTGGCACAGAGCAGCAGTAATTAGAACAGCTCACCATTGGCACAGAGTAGGACCAAGAGCCCAAAATGAGAAGTACGCAAGAAACTGTGATATTCTAGTTGATGGAACAGAAGGATTTTTAAATAAGTGATATTTAAACAATAGGGAGTTATTAACAGGAGATAGAGCTGATTTTCTACCTAGTGCCCCAGACCAAAGTAAATTCCTGATTCATCAAATATTAAATGTAAAAATGTAAGGCAAAAAATAAATAAGTAGGTGAATCCCATGAACCTGGGATTCTCAAAAGACTTTCTAAATATATCATGAAACCATAAAGGGAAACACTGAGAGATATGATATAAAAATGTAGACAAACTTCTTTATGGGAAACACTGCAAACAGAATTCAAAACTAAATGACAATCTGTAAAATATTTGCTATGCATGTGATGGGAGATTGTTAAACTTAACAAACTGAAATCATAAACACCCAGTTGAGTTTGAATTTTAGTTTAGCCACGAATTATTTTTTTTGTCTCACTCATTGTTGGTCTGAAAGTCAAATTTAAATGAATTCCCTGTCTTGTCTCTTTCGGCCATATTATGATAGCAACATTTTAATATGATAATTTGCAAAAAAAAAAAAAAATTCTTATAATCATTAAAAAAAGTATAGATGATTAAGCCACTAGAACAAGGAGAAAAAGAGATCAGCAGGCAATTCACCAAAGAAAACAAATAACAGAACAAAATAAGTATCCTCTCTAGCAATGAAACAAATGCAAATAAAAAGTACAGAAAATTGTACTTTTTAACCTACTAACTGGAAAAGTTTAAAATATTGGTAAAATCCAGCACAGGTGAGCAATTTGGAGAATGGGTATTCTCCCTTACTATTTATGATAATGTGAATTAGTACATATTTCTACAATACAGTTTGAGAAAAAATACCAAATTAAATACTTTATGTTTATAGCAATATACCAAACAAATCTATTTTCAAGGATTTTTCTAAAGGGATCATTTGACAAGTGGACAAAATGCATATAGCATATATTTATACAATTTATAATAGTAAAAAATTTGGCACAATAATTGAGGATTGGTTAATTAAATATAATTAAATAAAATAATATTATATATGGTGACATAGTTACAATTCTAAGCACTTCCTATATAATAATTTACCAAAACCAAAACAAAACAAAAAAAATCCTCACTAAGAAGGTACAACTAGGGGCTGGGGCTGGGGCTTAGTGGTACAGTGCCTGCCTCCAACATGTGAGGCACTAGATTCAATCTTCAACATCAAATAAATAAATAAATAAAGATAGTTATTGGGGCCTTTTACAACTAAAAAAACTAAAAAGAAGGTATAACTAGCATCTCCATTTTATAGGAATGGAATCAAGACAAAGATCTAAGCAACAAATTAGCTTAAACTACTACAATCATCATTGACTCCGAGGCTTCTCTCCACTCCCTGTCTTTGCTTCTGGCAGGGCATTAGTTTTATTCTCCTTTTTAATTCTACACTGGCTTTATTACCTCCTTAATTCAAGAAAACATGGCAGTAGAGAGAGAAGAGGGGAGGGGAGGGGGGATAGTAGAGGATAGGAAAGGCAGCAGAACACAACAGACACTGGTATGGCAATATGTAAATCAATGGATGTGTAACTGATGTGATTCTGCAATCTGTATATGGGGTAAAAATGGGAGTTCATAACCCACTTGAATCAAAGTGTGAAATATGATATATCAAGAACTATGTAATGTTTTGAACAATCAACAATAAAAAATTTAAAAAAAAAAAGAAAACATGGCAGCCTCCTGAGCTTCATATAATAGCATTAGTTGTTTGACCAGGACGCAAGAAAAGACCACTGACTCCAATTAAAATCAAATTAAAGCAAGCTTATTATTTCGACTGGCCGGGCTGCCTCTCCCTCTCAAAACGGCGGGAACAAGACAGCAACCCCACCTTTCCTACAGCCCAGCTTTATAGCCCAGAAAGTTACACAAAAGGGGGGTTACAGATAACAGAACTCTGACAAGCATCACACTAATGGTAGTTTACATTGTTTTTTGCTGGCCCCAACATCAGAATTTATGAGGACCATTAGAGTCTCAGAGAGGGTCGTTGTCTGGCCAGGGAAGGCCAATATTTATGAGTTGTCACTAAGTTTCAGAGAGGGCTGCTATCTGGTCAGAGAGCCAGGCATGGGTGAGTTCAAGGCACGGGCAGGCATTCCAAGCAGGTTCAGAATTTGCAGTAATTTATAGTAAAGCCGAAATTATCTTTTCATGGTTTTGTGGCGAGATGCCCAATTTTAAGAAAAGATCAGGTTGGGTCTATCATTAGTCACACAAAGATATTAATGTTCATGGTTCTTAGTTTTAAAAACCTATGTTGGTATGAATGCCCACTGGGCAAAGCATTAGTCAGAACAGGCTGGGTTTTGCTGTGTTTACAAACAGCCCCTAAATCTCAGTACCTTGTGATAAAAGTGTTTCCCTCTCACTTGCTCTATATATCTACAGTGGGTTGACTGTGGCTTGGCTCTATTACAGGAACTCCACTGGGGAATACAGGCTAGAAAAACAGTTTATATCTAGAGCACCTTGGTCATCTCGCACCTTCACTTTGCACCTTGACACCTAGGCAATTTTGCAGAAAGAAAAAGAAGACACAGCCAACCACAGGTTCTTAACACTTCTACCAGAGTGTTAAGTCATCTAGCCAAGCCTAATGTTGTGGGGCAAGGAAATCATCAGCTTCCCCAGAAGAATAATATGGCCTCAGATATCCAGTAACTCTAGTGAAGGAAATGTGTTTGTAACTGCATATGACATCCAAGACCATAATGATTGCATGGGAATAGACAATGATGCTGTGTTCTGAAATGTCTCCATTTGGAAAAAATGAAGTGAGAAAATTGGGCAGAAAATGGACAAATTTTGACCACAGAGATTATACGGTTAGGACTCTGGACTGAATGCTAGACTTGGAGTCAAACAGCCCTGGGTTACAGTTCTTACTCTCTAATTTACTCAATATATAACCATGGCCCAACTCATGGCAGCTAATATCTACTCAATCATGAAGTAGAGAGAACAATTCTTGCAACATCAAATGTGAACCATCTAGCAGAATGTTATAGGGTGAGTTCAGTCTTTACTGTTAAGCTTGAAAAATGCCTGTTGCTTCTCACTGTGCACTCAATGCCTTGCAAAGAAATTTCTAATTTCAGTCTATTCTTTTTAAATTAGTTAACTAACTAATTTTAATTTACAAATAAATGTATGGGTGTTATACAACATGAATGTCCAATTCCTGGTTTTAAATTAATTAATTAATTTTAATTGACAAATATGAATTATATGATTATTGCTGGTATACAATGTGATGTTCTAAAATATGTTCATTGTGGAATGGCTAAATCCACACATGCATTATCTCACAGTCTTATTTTTTATTTTGTGTTTTTAAAATGAGAATTGCTTCAGTGTTAAATAATAACTTTCTCTCATTCTCAGTATTCAAAGCAGAAGACACCTTCAACTGGAATAGTTAAATCTCACTCACTGATACCTAATTTAACCAGCACTTAGGTTGGATGTTGAATCTCCCCAAAAGGCTCTTTCCACTCATGACTTTGAGTCAGCCCCTGTGTCTCTCCTTTTCTCCATTAGACAAGGGCATGGAGGAACTTGGAGCTTCCTATCAGCTCTGGTGTTCCTGTTCCATCCCTAGATAGTCTGAGGAGGCAGCTTTTGAGAGAAGCTTTGGGAAATCCCCAGCTGTTGGCCATTGTCACAGGTG